TATCAGATGCCACAACCCCAAATATTGTTATACTATTGACATATAAGCCTCCTTTCATTTAGGAGGATTTTAACACCTGGCTCTCTATCTTCCTATTCATCCCAACTCCTGTCACTGTGAAAGGAAAATAAATCTTGGGCCCCAAAACAACTAAAAGGAAAAAAAAAAAAACTAAAGGGAAAAGCCAAGCTGGGAACTGCTTAGGGCAAATCTGCCTCCCATTCTATTCAAAGTCACTGAGATAGATGAATATCTGATGGCCTCCTTTGGAGAGGCTAATCAGAAACTCAAAAGAATGCAACCATTTGTCTCTTTGGGATGATGAATATCCTAATTATCCTGATCGGATCCTATGACCTGCAAACTCCCTCCCTGTTTCGAGTTGTCCTGCCTTTCTGGATAAACCAATGTTCATCTTACATATGTTGCTTGATGTCTCATGTCTCCCTAAAATGTATAAAATCAAACTGTTCTGACCAGCTTGGGCACATGTCATCAGGATTGCTTGAGGCTGTGTCATGGCCACGTGTACTCAACTTTGGCAAAATACACTTTCTAAATTAACTGACACCTGTCTTAGACATTCAGGGTTCACATTGTCAATCTTGATGTATAATCAAACCAACAATGAGACCTCTTAGTTCCTCAACCTCATCAACTCTAATTTTTTTTTAAAATCTCACATCAGCTGCCCACTTCTATGGGCATATATTTGCCCAATAATTATACTCCTTAATCCAAGCATCTCACTCTCTGACCACTATCCCTGTCTTTCAAGTGATTTCATCTAATATCTCACTTCAAAATTTTATTTTACTTCATTACAACCTCCAATTCACTGAGTCTGTTATTTTTTTCATTATCCATTCCCCTTTCAAAGACACACATCCCATTGAACCCCTGAGATTCAATGGCTATCATCATAGTTACTCACTGAAATCAGGGCAAGTGGTCTCCTCCTTATAAAGATGACTCAAGAGTTGCAAACATCACATTTCGCACCCTATTGGATCAGTTGGGAAGTGAGGCCTTTGGGGAGTTATTTAAATAATGAGGGATCTGCCCTTATAAATGGATACATGCCTTTATAAAAAAAAAAAAAAACTTGAGGGGAGAAATTCACTCTTTTTTTTTTTTTGAGACATTGTTTTGCTTTTGTTACCCAGGCTGGAGTGCAATGGCATGATCACGGCTCACTACAACCTCCGCCTCCTGGGTTCAGGCAATTCTCCTGCCTCAGCCTCCTGAGTAGCTGGGATTACAGGCACAAGCCACCATGCCCAGCTAATTTTTTGTATTTTTAGTAGAGACAGGGTTTCACCATGTTGACCAGGATGGTCTCGATCTCTTGACCTCGTGATCCACCTGCCTCGGCCTCCCAAAGTGCTGGGATTACAGGCTTGAGCCACTGCGCCCGGCCAGGGAAATTCACTCTTTTCCACCCCTTCCACTCCTTCTATCATGTGAGGATATGGCATTCTACCCTTCCAGAAGCTGAGACCAGCTTCTCACCAGACACTGAACCTATCAGCACCTTAATCCTGGACTCCTAGCCTCCAGAACTGTGAAAAATAAATTTCTTTTTACAAATCACTCAGTCTCAGATATCTTGTTGTAGCAGTACAAACGAAATAAGACAACTGGCTAAAATTCAGGGCATTCTATTATTAAAAAGAAAAGAGGATGTGACTATTTGGGGACAGTTAGTGATGTTTGCACATTAGTTAAGCCTAAATGCCCACCTATTCTGTGTTTTCCCACAAGTAACTAACACACCAGAGGAAAGTATGCAGCCATGATTCTCACTCCAAATCTCAAGTCAATTCTACATAACAAACTTATACACGTATTTAATACATTTGATCTTCTGTGCTCAAGAAATGGCTATTTTGTGTGTTCTCTTTTCTCAAACCTCTCACAATCCCTTACTATCTTTTACACTTCACTCTCAGCTGGTATATTTCTCATATTTTATAGAAAAAGTGAAAGCAATCCCAGGAACTTACTTTTCTTTCCCCACTAAATCTACTAGCCCATTCTAACATTCTTTTCTCTCATTTCAATTCTAACTTTCTTTGACACATTCTTTTCTCCTTTTACAATACACAGAAGCTCCTTGTTCCTAGCAGAGATGAACACCTCTCAAGCCTATCTTTTCCAGCCTTTCTCAAGGACAGATGTCTGTAATAGCAATTTCTCTTGTAGTATTATGTTTTGATTTTCTGTTGGATTATTTCCAACAGTTAGGAAATAGTCTCTAATAGATCCTACCTTCAAAAAATTATTAGAAGAGAGGACTCTGGGAAGATAGCAGGGTAGAGAGCACCTGAAATCTATCTCTCCAGCTTGACAACAATTGCACTGAGGGAATCTGTCTTACCTAGCTATTTGGAAACTCTACAGTCTATTGAAGGCTTGCAGCTTCCAGAGGAAGGCTTGGATGGTAAATTGCAGTAAATTCTGGTCAATTTCAGCTGCACAATAGCAGCCACCCATCCCCCAACCCCAGCCCTTTGGCAGGCAGGCAGCCATGCAGAGGAGCAGCTTTCCTATATCTTGCAGATGCCAGGGTGGGTAAAAAGGACCCTTTCCTACAAATACCAGGGATCTGGACTCTAATCATTGATTGCTATTTCTGATCACAAAAGTACAAAGAGGCAGGTAGCCATTGTGCTGCACCTCTCCCCACTATTGTATGCCCCTCCCCCTCCAGCTGAAGCAACTTCTAGGGGATGAAAAAGGCTAGCATCCTCCACTCCATTTATTTTTCTTTTCCCCCCCTTTTTCAGAGCCATGTGTTAATGACTAGGACTTTCAAAAGCAACTACATATGTGGGAGATATGAGAAAGTCATGTGTATGCTCCGGGAAAGGTGCAAGCTTAGAAGAGATCTGAGAAAGACCTTCATTTTACACCTCAGACTGACACTTCACAAAGAGGCAGTCTACAACAGTTTTAAAAAGCAGCAAACCCTGGGGAAGAGAGAGAATCTGATTTCCATAGTTACTACCTTATTACATTCAAATGTCCAGTTTTCAACCAAAAGAAAAATTACAAGATATGCAAATAAATAGGAATATGGCCCATTCAAGGGAAAAAAATCAACAGAAACTGTCCATGAAAAAAAAGCTGATCGTGGCTGAACTAGACAAACACCTTAACAAAACTGGCCAGGTGAGGTGGCTCATGCCTGTAATCCTAGCACTTTGGAAAACTGAGGCAGGCAGATCACTTGAAGTCAGGAATTTGAGACCACGCTGGCCAACATGGTTTTTTTTTTAGGAGAATCAGGACTTACTAGAAGCCCCATCTCAACTAAAAAGACAAAAATCAACCAGGTATGGTGGTATGCGTTGTAGTCCCAGCTATTTGGGAGGTTTGGGCAGGAGAATCGTTTGAATGCAGGAGGTGGAGGTTCCAGTGAGCTGAGATTGCACCACTGCAATCTCCAGCCTCCATCTCAAAGAAGAAAAAAAAAAAAAAACCGTAACAAAACTATCTTAAAGATGTTCAAAAGAACTAAGGGAAAATGTGGAGAAAAGTTAAGAGAATGATGTACGAACAAAATGGAAACATCAATAAGGAGGTAGAAAAGCTAAAAAGAAACCAGAAAAGAAAAAATCTAGAGCTGAAAAGTACAAAACTAAAATAAAAAATTTAGTAAAGGCATTCAAAGACAGATTTGTTCAGGAGGAAGAATTAGTGAATTTGAAAATAGGACAATGGAAGTTATTGATTGTGAGAAGCAGAAAGAAAAAGAATTGAAGAAAAGTAAGCAGAGCTAAGGGACCTATGGGACACACTCAAGTGGATGAACATATGCATTGTAAGAGTTCCAGAGGGAGCAGACAGGGAGAGAGGAGTAGCGAGAATAAAGAAATATTAGGTTTACGACCATACCACCCTGAATGTGTCTGAGCTTGGAAGCTAAGCAGAGTCGAGCCTGGTTAGTACTTGGATGGGAGACCCCCTTGGAATACCAGTTGTGGTAGGCTTATTAAAAAAAAAAAAAAAAAAAAAAAAAAGGCTGGGCGGGGTGGCTCAAGCCTGTAATCCCAGCACTTTGGGAGGCCAAGGCGGATGGATTATGAGGTCAAGAGATCGAGACCATCCTGGTCAACATGGTGAAACCTCGTCTCTACTAAAAATACAAAAAATTAGCTGGGCACAGTGGCACGTGCCTGTAGTCCCAGCTACTTGGGAGGCTGAGGCAGGAGAATTGCCTGAACCCAGGAGGCGGAGGTTGCGGTGAGCTGAGATCGCGCCATTGCACTCCAGCCTGGGTAACAAGAGTGAAACTCCGGCTAAAAAAAAAAAAAAAGAAAAAAAAGAAATAATAGACGAAAACATTCTAAATTAAATGAAAAACATGAATATAAACTCCAACTAGGATTAACTCATACAGGCCAATTCCAGCATACAGTACAATCAAACCATCAAAGGGAGAATCTTGAAAGCATCAAGAGAAAAGCCACTCATCATATACAAGAATTTCTCATTAAGATTATCCACAGATTTCTCATCAGAAACTTTTGAGGCTGACATACACAAGGTACTAAAGGGAAAAAAAAACTGTCATAGAAGAATTCTGTATTCAGCAAAACCGTCCTTCAAAAGTGAGGGAGAAATTAAGACATTCCTAGATAAATAAAAGCTGACAGAGCTTTTGTTTACCTAACTTATCACTATCCTTGATGTCACTTGTTATCACTAAACCTGCCCTACAAGAAGTGCTAAATAAACTCCTCCAGGTTAAAATAAAACAAGACAGTAACATAAAGCCATATGAAGAAATAAAGATCTCATTAAAGGCAAATACATGGGCAATTATAAAAGCTAGCATTGGCTGGGTGTGGTGGCTCACACCTATAATTCCAGCGCTTTGGGAGGCCAAGGCAGGCGGATCACCTGAGGTTGGGAATTTAAGACCAGTCTGACCAACATGGGGAAACCTTGTCTCTACTAAAAATAAAAAATTAGCTGGGCATGGTGGCGCATACCTGTAATCCCAGCTTCTTGGGAGGCCGAGGCAAGAGAATCAATCACTTGAATCCAGGAGGTAGAGGTTGTGGTGAGATCATGCCATTGCACTCCAGCCTGGGCAATAAGAGCAAAACTCTGTCTCCAAAAAAAAAAAAAAAAAAAAAAGCTAGTATTGAGGGCATTTATGTTAAGTGAAATTAGCCAGGCACAAACATTGTATGATCTCACTTATATGTAAAATCTAAAAATGTTGAACTCACAGAATCAGAATGTAGAATGACAGTTAACAGGGGATTGGGGATGGTGAAGGTTGGTAAGATTCTGGTCCAAGGATACAACATTTCAGTTAGCTAAGAGGAATAACTCCAAGAGATCTGTTGATCTGTAGGGACTATGGCTAATAATAATGTATTATATCCTTAAAAATTGGCCGGGCACGGTGGCTCACACCTATAATCCCAGCACTTTGGGAGGCCGAGGCGGCTGGATCACAAGGTCAACAGATCGAGACCATCCTGGTCAACATGGTGAAACCCCTTCTCTACTAAAAATACAAAAAATTAGCACCACCAGAACATGGTGGTGCGTGTCTGTAGTCCCAGCTACTTGGGCGGCTGAGGCAGGAGAATTGCTTGAACCCAGGAGGCGGAGGTTGCGGTGAGCTGAGATCGTGCCATTGCACTTCAGCCTGGGTAACAACAGCGAAACTCAGTCTCTCTCCCCCACCCAAAAAAAAAAAACTGCTAAGAGTATATTTTAAGTGCTCCTACCACAAAAAATAAGTATGTGATGTAGTGCACATGTTAACTTGACTTAGCCATCCACAACGTATACATATTTCAAAACATGTTGTACACTATAAATATATACAATTGTTGTCAATTAAGACAGAAAAATAAATGTTTTTAAAGGTCATGTTATTGTAACTATGTTTTGTAACTCTACATTTTTTCTACATGTTTTAAGAGGCTAATACATTTAAAAAGAATTATAGGCTGGGTGCGGTGACTCAGACTTTTAATCCCATCACTTTGGGAGGCCAAGATAGGCAGATCATCTGAGGTCGGCAGTTCCAGATCAGCCTTACCAATGTGGAGAAATGCAGTCTCTACTACACCCAAAATTAGCTGGGTGTAATGGAACATGCCCGTAATCCCAGCTACTCGGGAGACTGAGGCAGGCGAATAACTTGAACCCAGGAGGCAGAGGTTGCAGTTAGCCAAGATTGTGCCATTGCACTCTAGCCTATGCAAGAAGAGTGAAACTCCCATCTTAAAAAAAAAAAAATTACTTAAGTTCTAGCTAATACAATAAGACAAGAAAAGGAAATAAATATATACAGATTGGAAAGAAATAAAACTGTCTTTGTTTGCAGATGTCATGATTACTTATGCAGAAAATTTTAAAGAATTGACCAGAAAAAATCTCCTAGACTAATAAGTGATTTTAGCAGGGTTGCAGGATACTAGGTTAATACACAATAGCAAATTACTTTCCTGTATGCCAGGAAAGAACTAGTCAAATTTAAAAGTAAAAACAATATTGTTTACATTAGCACCTCCAAATGAAATACTTATGTATACCATAAAATAAAACACAATAAAAACAGAAAGTAATGTGTTAATTAGCACCTCCAAATGAAATACTTATGTATACTATAAAACAAAACACAATAAAAACAGAAAGTAATGTGTTAACGAGGATGTGGAGAAATTGGAACCTTTTGCACTATTGGTGGGAATGTAAAATGGTACAATAGCTGTTGGTTTCATTGGGGAATTGTACTAAACATTAAAAAAGAACTAACACCAATCCTCCTGAAACTTTCTGTTTTTGAGACGGAGTCACTCTTACCACTCAGGCTAGAGTGCAGTGGCGCAATCTTGGCTCACTGCAACCTCCACCTTCCTGGCTCAAGTGATTCTCCCGCCTCAACCACCCAAGTAGCTGGGATTACAGGCATGCACCACCATGCTCAGGTAACTTTTTTTTTTTTTTTTTTTTTGAGACGAAGTGTTGTTCTGTTGCCCAGGCTGGAGTGCAGTGGCGCGATGTCGGCTCACTGCAACCTCGGTCTTCAGGGTTGAGGTGATTCTCTATATTGGCCAGGATGGTCTCATACTCCTGACCTTGTGATCTGCCTGCCTCAGCCTCCCAAAGTTCTGGGATTACAGGCATGAGCCACCACACTTGGCCCTCCTGAAACTTTTCAAAAAAAAAAAAAAAAATGAAGAGTTGGGAACACTTATAACTCATTCTATGAGGCCTGCATTACCATGATACCAAAGTTAAACAAAGACACAAGAAAACTGCTGAACATTAATCCCTCTGGACGCTGATGTAAGAATTCTCAACAAAATACTACTAACAAATCAAGTTCAGAGCCAGCAGGGAATTTTGGCAAAATTCGTCATGATATATCTTTTTTTCTTTTCTTTTCTTTCTTTCTTTCCTTTTTTTTTTCTTTTTTGACAGAGTCTTGTTCTGTCACCCAGGCTGGAGTGCAAAGGTATCTTGGCTCACTGCAACCTCCACCTCTCAGGCTCAAGCGATTCTCCTGCCTTAACTTCCCGAGTAGCTGGGATTACAGGGGTCCACCACTATACCCAGCTATTTTTTGTATTTTTAGTAGAGACAGGGTTTCATCATGTTGACCAGGCTGGTCTCAAACTCCTTACCTCAGGTGATCTGCCCACCTCAACCTTCCGAAGTGCTGAGATTATGAACTACAGAATTTTTACTTATCTTCCTGTACCTGACATCTGCATCTTCTTTCTCTGATATGAGGAGAGATTAGCATTATGAATCAGTAGACTGAGTAAATAAGATTACCCTCAACAATGCAGGTAGGTCTTATCCAATTTATTGAGACCCTTAGCCTCCTGAGTAGCTGGGATTACAGATGCCTGCCACCATGCCTGGTTAATTTTTGTATTTTTAGTAGAGACAGGGTTGTGCCATATTGGACACACTGGTCTTGAACTCCTGACCTCAGGTGATCCACCCACCTCAACCTCTCAAAGTGCTGGGATTACAGGTGTGAGCCATTGTGCCTGGCCATATTTCCTTTAAAAAAAAAAAAGTAAGCAAATCTATTACACACATTTTTGTATTTCCTGTTTTTTTAAATGGAGGCAAAGAATACTTTTCTATACCTTTTTTTCATTCAGCATTATATTCCAAAGATCATTCTATAGTGGGTATATATATATATTCCTTATTTCTTCTTCCAGCTGCATAGTACTCCCCTGTGTGCATGTACTATAGTATAGTCAACCAACCTCCTTATATGGACATGTGGGACATGGACATATTACATAATCTCCTTATATAAAATACTTACCTTTTGGGGGGTGGGATGGGTGTTAATGCAGTCTCACAATGAATAGTCTGAGGCATACATCTTTTTTTTTTGCTACTGTATCTGTGGGACAGAGTCCTAGATTTGGCATTGCTAGTTCAGTGGGCAAATCCACACATAACTTTTACTACATATAGTTGGGCACATGTGTAACTAATTTGATATATGTAATCAATAAATCAGCTTTCAGCTTAAGGAATCATCTCATTATATTAACACACAAAAATTATGCTGTGTACTTAGAACCAGCTTAAGTCTGGCTGCTCATGGCTCAGAGGCAGAAAACATGAGAAGCGAGGTGTAGTGAAAAGAAAGCAACTTTATTCAAACATTAGCAGTTGGTGGATGGACAGGCTCATGCCTTTAATACATCACTCCAACTTTCTGGGCTGAGTGAAGGGGTTTAAGAAGCAAAAAGGTGTGGGAAATATGGAAGAGTAGCACAGGAAGGTGTAGGTCTGTGTCCGTTCTGATGGCCATCTTCAGTAATTGACTGTTTGAAGGCCCAGTTTGAGTCATCCGGACTTAAGCTGGTAGTACTGGGCACAGCTGGGTCTCTCTATCTGGTTTGTTTCAAAATTGGCCACTGGAATTTGTAAGCAAGCACATCATTAGATAAGTGAGCCCTGTTCTCAGAAGACACTGGTGGGAAAGGGAGATACAAAGTTTCAAAGTATGTTTCAAGGCTGAAAGCAAGAAAGGAAAAAAAAAAAGTTTTAAAATGCATTGTGAGGCAGGGATACTGTTACATGTTCACCACTTGAGGCATCAAAATTTGGGTAAACTTCTTGTTGATAAGGAAGCTATCCATTGACCACTGGCATCATTAATTTTTTTTTTTTTTTTTTTAGATAGGGTCTCGCTGTCACCCAGGCTGGAGTGCAGTGGTACAGTCTTGGCTCACTACAACTTCTCCAACCTGGGTTCAAGTGATTCTCCTGTCTCAACCTCTTGAGTAGCTGGGATTACAGGCAAGAACCAGCACAAGCAAATAATTTTTTAAATTTTAGCATAGATGGGGTCAAGACCCAGGCTGGCCTTGAATTTTTGACCCCAAGTAATCCATGCACCTGAGCCTCCAAAGTGCTGGGATTACAGACGTCAGCCACCCTGCCTGGTTGTTATTGTTTTTTTGAGACAGTCTTTCTCCAGCTCTGGTGCCCAGGCTAGAGTGCAGTGCCATGATCTTGGTTCACTGCAACCTCTGCCTCTCATGTCTCAGCCTCCCAAGTAGCTGGGATTACAGGCACATGCCACCATAGCCGACTAATTTTTGGCATTTTTAGTAGACGCAGGTTTTCACCATGTTGGCCAGGCTGGTCTGGAACTCCTGGCCTCAAATGACCTGCCTGCCTCAGCCTCCCAAAGTGCTGGGATTACAGGCATGAACCACAGCACCCAGCCATCATCATAAAAATACAATGGTAGTGTTCTACAAAGGGAGTTAAGAACATCTTTCCCCAGCTTTGATAATACTGGTGTAGCTGTTACAGTTATCATTAATAAAACACCCATCAAATACCTGTCAAAGCACTTCCTGGTGGTGGTGATTATTTCACCTTATTGATACAGAGAAAATCATGGCACAATGTCACATAGGAATTTAGTGGCAAGAGGCAAACCCAATTCCACCAAAACTCCAAACCATATTAATTTATTTTTGGTGAAAACGACAAACTGGTCTATACTTTGTTCTACAGAAAATAACTTAGAGCTTGTGGTGTTTTAAGACATGAAGTAGCAATTTCAAACTAAGTTACAACAGAAAAAGATAATTTAAAAAGTTTTTAAAAAAAATCTCTTCCTCACATGTACAGAACTAATTTGGGTGCTAATTTCTTCTTACAGTAACCACCAAAAATCTGTGCACGTGAAAATTGGCAGTTTCTTTGTAAATGCCAAAAACATAGATGAAATCTGAATGCAGTATAACTGTTTTTGGTAGTACTGAAATATCTATGCTCTCAATAGCTTAAATGAATGCTTATGACTATGCACTATATTTTAAAATAGGGGCTTTCATTTAGATTAGTAAACTTGCTGGGTACAGTGGCTTATACCTGTAATCCCAGTACTCTGGGAGGCTGAGGAAGGTGGATCACCTGAGGTCGGGAGTTCCAGACCAGCCTGGCCAGCACGGCGAAACCCTGTCTCTACCAAAAGTACAAAAATTGTCTGGGCTTAGTGACGTTTGTCTGTAATCTCAGCTACTTGGAAGGCTGAGGCAGGAGAATCACTTGAACACATGAGGCGAAGGCTGCAGTAGGCTGAGACTGTGCCACTGCACTCCAGCCTTGGTGACAGAGCGAGATTCCATTTTAAGAAAAAAAAAAAAAAGAAAGAAATGATTAGTGAGCTTGAGGCATCTTTCTTCTTCAATTTTGTATCATTCCAAAATGCCCACTACTACTGAGCATATGAGGACATAAATGTGCCTCGAAACTGTTTTTTTTTTCTCTTTCTTCACTGTTTAAGAAAATGAAGTTTGATAGGAAGTCATGAGATTTTAGTTTAAGCCAATTTTCACAATCTTTTTAGACTTTTCTTCTTGGCGTTGTTGCTAGAAATAGTCATTTGGACTGTAAAACATTTAAATGTTTGGACATATAAGGTTTGGTGTCATTTTGTTGATGGTACAGCAAAACTTATACATTGATTTTTTTTCCTTTTCTTCTCTTGTTTTACAGTTATCTAGTGTTTAGGCTGCATATTAAAAGAAAGATGCAACATTTTATCTCCCAACATAAATCATTTTGAAGTTAAAAAACACACAACACAAACATTCATCACAAAGAGGGTACTATTATGCATCTCCCTAAATACATGGCTGTTACAAAGTATGAGATCACAAATAGCAAATCCTATATAGTAGAAATTGCTGTTAAAGTTAGAAACATCATTTAAGCTGTAGGAGACCAAGAGTAAAAAGTTCAGATAGAAACAATTTAAATATGATGCTAAATGTAGTCTTACTTGGGAGAAGTTTTCTCTCACAAATTTTCAGTTTTGTGAATTAAAGGCCTGCAGCTTCCAAGTATTCAGTCCGACAATTTTGGTGCAAGATCAGAAAACATTTCTCTCTGAAACTAAACTGAATGGCACACATATGTTACAACGAAGGCATGTAATACCTATTGAGGGCTTGGAAAACCAACATATTGGAGTGGAATCCATGATGGCTGGATGCCAGACACACCATCTAATGCAAGTGCTTGGGTAAATATTAACCAAGTGCTTAGGTCTTTTTGTAATCTAGGTGTAAAGAAAGAACCTAACTCAGAGCCTCCAGGGAGTCTGATGGACTTAAGGAGGCCAGGATTGGGTTTTGTGCCACTTTAATCCAATAACTACATTCCACTATTTCACCGATTAATTCTGTGAAGAGCAAATCTCATAGCTTCTCTTCCATGTCCAGGGCAGTGGTTTCAACCTTAATTGATGGCAAAACTACTCAACCATTTATCAAGAATACGAAGTGGTAGGGGAGAAAACTAAGTGGAAGGTGAGGGATTCCATGTACAAAGCGTTTGGGAGTATGTATATAGGGAGGTAACAAGAAGTCCTCTCAATATGCAGTAAAATTTACCAGGAATGGTATTGTTTAGTGTAACTTTACAATTGGGCTATCACCTGAATATTAAATAAATCACAAATGTTGATTGAATCACAATTTTACATTGCTAAGAACACTGATTTCCTGTGATTTTTTTTCTTTAAGTGTTCCAGACCATGCAGCTGTGCAGGTAACTGGAAGTAATTGTTAAGAGGGGAATGGATTTGGTGTGAAAATAAATCTCAAGGTTCATAGATATTCTCCACACCCATTGATAATCTCCCATTTTCTGCGTATTAAAGGCCCCTGCTTTCTCTAATCCCTTTCTTCAGGTGTTGGCAGGCTGCATTTTTTTTTTTTTTTCTCTTTGGTAAGATGCCTTTGACATTCTTCAAATCTGGTTTCACCAGCAAAGAACTTTTCGTTTTGCTCTGTCTTTGGAAGACAAACTCCTTCACTCATCCAGATGACATTTCAGGTCCCTCAAAATTCCAGGGGCTCCGTTCTGCTTGTAATGTTGATATAAAGGCAGGATTTGTTTGGACAGAGGAGGTCAAAAGCTTATTGGATTGCACTTCAAGACACGGGCACAGCCGCCGTGCTCTCTTATAACTAGAGGCCAAGCGATTTGGGTCAAGGGCATGTGTTTCAATGTGATCAGTCACTACACGTTGGCCATGCGGAGTAGTGGGATTTTGGCAGTATTTTTTAAAACCAGGGAAAGTTATTGTGCTGTTATAATCCAAAGGCTGGTGGGGTTGTCTCCCCTACTCCCCGCACCGCATTTCCACCACCGTGACAAATTATTTAAAGTACGTGGGCTAGTAGGGAACTAATCTCTGGGTAACCTAAGTAAGCCTGGTCTTCGTAGCGGACCCAGTGTGGAAACAAACCAAGTCAGAGGTTAGTAACTCTGGAATGTGAAAGTGGGCCCCAATCGGCTTTTACTCCCATTGGGAAATTCTACATAATTCTGCCCGCGAAAGACCCACCCTCGGCGAGGAGCGAACGCTCCGAGGCTCACAGTCAAAGCCTCGCTGACAAATCAAGAGATGACTCCGCATTTAAAACCGTCCCGAATCGGAACCCGCCAGAGGCCGGAAGCCGCACCACGTGACCAGTTCTCCGCGGCCATTCCTAGCGAGGCAGTCGCTACCGCTTGTCTCATTTCCTAGCTCCTCCAGCGCGGGACCGGGCGGAAACGTGCGACAGGAGGCGGTCCCACCTAGCTTTGGACTGGAATGTCACTAGAACTCGCGCCTTTTCCAGAAACGCTTTGCAAGTACTTCACCGCAAAGAACTGCGGCAGACTTCCGCCTGGGTGCCAACCACGTGATCACGCGAGAGTTGGAGAGGCGTAGGTCCGACTTCACTACTTCACTACCCAAGCTCCGCCAGTCGAGCACCCCCACCGCGCGTGACGACGCGGCTCGCGGCGGCCTCCGCCCCGACGCGCCTGCGCACGCGGCTCTCGCGGTGTCTCGCGCTCAGCCCCGCCCACCTCTGCCCCCGCCCTTTCCGCCCCTCCCTCCCCCATCACCCTGTCTCTCAGCGGCGGCGGCGGCGGCGGCGGTTCGCGCAGCTTGTTGGCTCGCTATATAAAGGAGAGAAGCGGGCGGACCGGACGGCTGGAGCTGCAGCCGGTGGCAGCAGCGGCGGCGCAGGGAGCGGTGACCGGTGGTGGTTTCCCTCCTTGGCGCGGGGTGGGGAGCGGGCAACGCCCCCGGACCCCTTAAGGGTCGTGGATTTTTTTTTAAAAAGACGATTCTCGAGGTTTTTAGCTGCGGGAGGAGTGCCCCCCTCCTCCTCCTCCTCCTCCTCTCCGCTCTCCCCTACTCCTTCAGGATTGATTTTGTTTAAGTTTTTTTCCCCAATCTTGCGGTGACTTGGGTCACCCTCGGGTGTTTTAGTATTTTTTTTTTTTGGTTTTGTTTTTATCTTGTTTTCTTGGGGTTGCCCCCTCTTGTTTGTGTTGTGTGTGGAAATGGCGAACTCGGCAAATACAAACACCGTGGTAAGGACGTGGTTCGGTGGCCGGCGGGGGCTTCGTTCAGGCGGCAGCAACGGCCGGACCGGGCGGGGGCGGGGACGGCGGCGACTCCCGGCCTCGACTCTTCAGCCGCCCGCGCGGCCGCCGCCGCTGCCGCCGCCGCTTCCCGCCTCGGGCGGATCGGGCCGGGGCGCCGGGCGGCGGGCGCGGGGGGGCGCCGAGGGCTCTCGGCTCGGGGAGGGCGGGGGCGCCGGCGGGGCCTGGGGCCGCCGCGGGCCGGGTCGGGCCGCGGAGGCGGTTGGGCCCGGGCGGGCGCGCAGCCCCGGCCCCAGAACCCGGCCCCCGGGAGGGAGGGCGTGAGGGGAGCCGCCGCTTCCCCCCGAGGGGCCCGTCCGCGCTGGCTAGACGATGGCTCCCCGAGCGGCTTAAGAACAAAAACCGTGTCTGGGGAATCGGGCGAACCCCTGAGACCCACCGTGATCCACTTTAATGCAGTGGAGGATTAATGGCTACTTTTGGGGGTTACTTAGGTTTTTTCCTGGCAGTTGTGCTTTGGGAACCTTCACTGGGGCCATTTTATGTTTAAAAAAAGGACTAAGGTTGTTTGAAAAGCACTTATCTCAGTTCCTTCCGAATGGGTAAAATGGCGAAGGGGAAGCAAACCCCCCCCCATCGTATCTTCGACTAGCAAAAGCACCAAAACAAACAAAAAAAGCCTACAGTGGTCCAAGTGTCCCTGCTTTCGCCTTGAAATTTGCCTACTTCTTCCCGTTGGTCCCTTTTTGGTTATTTGCGATCACGTAGGTTTGCAAAAAGCAGTCACATAAATAACCTTTTCAGTCACCAACGCAATGTGATCACTAGTCCCCCCAACTCTTATTTTTATATGACAATAAAACACGTTTTTGCCCGGTCCCAAATGCCGCAGACTAGCCCGCGGCCGCCCGACACCGTACCGTTGGCGACTCGGGTCGATCCATCATGGCTGCGGCCGCTTACCCTGCTTTTCAGTCCCTGAGCTTTGTGGTCCTCCTCCCTTTGGCTGCCCTGTTTATATAGAGCCATTGCCGCTCTCTAATATAGACTCTGCCAGGATGGGTAGGTGCTTTTCAGGCCTACGTCACCGCCTCTCCATTTAAACACCAGATCCGGCTTTAAATAGTGAGAGCTGCTGAGAGCGGGGCTGGGAGGTGCGTGCTCCCGAGGCGAGAGCCAGGCGCGTGCGGAGCTCAGTTTATTTGTAGGTCCTTTTTTCACGCTGTAATTTCGCGCCTGTCGGGGGCTGCTTTCAGAGCCCCAAGTTTTTGTTTTGTTCCTAGCAGCAGCTAGGAATTACCTTCTTTTGTTTGTTAGGGGAAATATATCCGAATCGCTGTCCGTTTTTATTTACAATTTTCAAAATATGAAAACAAAGAATTTTTGATCAGATAGTCTAGTGATTTTCCTGTGTGCATTATTTTCAGGAATTAAAAAAACTGCTTTCTACAAAGTGTTAGCTGCAGAGGACTTGGTTTTTGTTGTATTTTGTTCAAATATTCAGGAAACAGGTTAGAAATACAGCTCCTAATATTTCATTATGTTTTTCTATAGTAAATCTAAAAGACACGAGGCCTTTCAGAGAAATAGATAAGTGCCTGAAGCTTCAGAATAGGACCATTTATGTGTAGGGGAATCGTGAGTAATTAGAGGGAAGAGACTTAGTGCAAACTGGATTTTAAAAAACTGTTAAGTAGAACTTTATCGCCTTGGATATTATTAACACAGTATCCAGTATAAAAATTATTTCAATTTATTTTTCAGCATTGCATCAGGGAATTAACATTTTTGAAGGAAACCTCCTAAGAAATCACTTAATAATGCCACTAGTGGCCCTCTGATAAACCAGTTTTCAAGTTTGAAATACCTGTCTTTTTAAAAATCAGGACAAACCTAAACTATTTCGTGAGAAACGGAAACTTTGACTCAATAGAGTGAAGAATTTTAGGTACTAGTTTATAAATTGCTTATTTCAAATAATGCCTATGTGCCCACATAGTTTTCAAAAATTAGTGTCTTGAGTGCTTTTCAAATTGTGAACAATTCTAAATTATTCATTGGGCATATACTTTGTGAAGCATACACGTTTCCCTTCTTTAAACTATAGTGCTTATGAAGCTGTTAAGTGATCAAGTTGTGAGTTCATTAAGGCACAAAAATAAAATCTTAAAGAATGATTCATTAAGTAGAGGAGTACCAGAAGAAAGCAAATTTATACCTATATATCTCTGGATCTCCAAGCAAAAGGTTTTTAGAGGTAACTGATTTGAGGAACACCACACCATCTAGTTTACTGAAAAGCATTATGTATTGTCAATTTGAGATTTATGCTCCCAATTTAAAATACATTGCCCTTCTAATGCCTTGAGGAGTCATTATTGATTAAAAAACAAAACACTATAGAGATACTTTTGTAATTCAGCAGTTAAATTAATTTAGTTAAGATGATGTCCATAGTCACATATACTTTCCTTATATGTAGAAACAGAATGAATGTTAAAGCAGGGACGATAGAAATGTTCATTTTGCAGATGAGTAATTTAAGCTTCAAGAGGCAGATTGGGCGAAATAAAGAGGTTAGTGAGTGAGTGGAACAGTAAAGCAAGAACCCAGATATTTGAATTGGTTTTCTTTTAATGAGAAGGAGTGAATAGTTTTTAATGGTTGAGGTAAATTGTACTGACAAATTTATTATTTGTATTTTGTTTGTTTTGTTTTCAGAGACAGGCTCTGGCCCTGTCACCCAGGCTGGAGTGCAATGGCACAGTCTTGGCTCACTGCACCCTTTCCCTCCTGGGCTCAAGCCATCCACCGCAACCTCCCAAATAGCTGGGACTATACAGGCACGAGCCACCACTCCTGGCTAATTTTTTTTGTAGATGCAGAGTTTTTCACCGTATTGTCCAAGCTGGTCTCAAACTCCTGAGCTCAAGCAGTCCTCCCAAAAAGCTGGATTGCTGGTGTTAGCCATTGCACCTTCCCTCATTATTTCTAGTTTTGACAAGGCAAGGACACATTTTCTTAGCAGTTCCACTGTGATAACAGTGTTGCTGATAGAGATGGTAGTGAAACATATTTCTGTTTGAAGTTTGCTTATGAGAACAAACCCTTGGTTTTATTTGGTAGCCATTAACTTTTACCTTAAGCAAGGTATGAAACACGAGTAATGACAGAGCATCTAAAAAACTTGTTAACCATAACTCTGTAATAATGGGGGATTTATAACCAGGGAACTCTGGTTTTGTCAAGGCAATTCTAGTTTTGTCTTCTGACATGACTTCCTTTTTTCTAACAGGTTAAAAATAGGACATGGGGAACAAAAAAAGAAGGATGTGGATTGGGCTGATTGTTTTATCTCCCACCTTGGAGTTTTTTAAAAAATATTTTATACTCTGAAAGTTCTTTCACATCTCTTCTCATTTTGCTAATTTTACCATTCAACCTTTAGAAGCCAGCTCCTTTACTTCCCCGCTCCGCCTTCAAGTAATACCAACAATGCAAATTGTAATAATCGTAATAATAAACATTTAGAGGATTCATGTTCATTATAATGTTCTTTTGCATTACCTGGGCAGTAGTAGAGGAGAAATCCTGGGAAGGAAATCAGTGTTCCTTGTTCCTTGGGACGTTCAGACTTCTTATTATGAGTGTATGAATAGTTTAATGATACAGCTTGAAAGGATAGATTGGGTCGGTCACTCAACAGAAGTTAGGTGATTTTTAAACCTGATTGTTCATTAGGTTGCAGATTATTACCAGGTAGATGACTGCCGTACATAGCATTCTCCAAAGTCTAAGATTTAGTTGTGAGATAGTGAGATACAGCAGAGTTCAAACCAAGCACGAAATAGTAGAAGCTAGACATAAGCAACCCGTACAGCTATTTTTGAACATTACATTAGGTGTTTTGACTACAACATAGGAAATTATAATTGGAAATTGTATGGACCTTGTAGTTTTAGTGTATGAATTGCATTAATCTTAAAATTTTTATTAAAGTATGCAGTTATCAAATCTAGTTTATGGCAAATGAGGTCTATTAGGGTGGTCATATCTTGAAAGTCATATATAGATAGTTGGCAAAGATGACATGTATTTGTTTTGAATTTGTGAAACTCTGTTATACATTATAACCTGTGAAAAACTGTCTTTTTCAAGTCTTTTATTTTTCCCTTGAAGCCTAAATTATACAGATCTGTGATTGAAGATGTCATTAATGATGTGAGAGACATCTTTCTGGATGATGGAGTCGATGAACAAGTACTGATGGAACTAAAAACTGTGAGTTTGTCTTTTTTTAAATATTCCTACCTTTTCCCCCCAACATTCTGTTTGGCTAGAAATGAATCTGTAATTTTTCTGTATGGTGAATGTTTAACTTTGTTGAAGGAGGCAGTATAGTTTAGTGACATGTACTGGTTTTAAATTGCAGCTCTACCATGCATTCTTCCTCTGACCTTAGGCAAGCTACTTTAATATTTCAGTTTCCTTATGTGTAAGATGGAAATTGGTAGTATTTATCTTATAGGTTTGTTTTGAGGGTTAAATGGAATAACCATATAAAATCTTAGCACAATGCCTGATAGTGGCATTAGTAGCTGTTATTATTGGACAGTTAGTATTCTACATTTTATGGTGTGATTACTTGACCTGCCTGTAAGAATTTTCTTGCTCTCTCTTTTCTTTTTTTTTTGACACAGGGTCTGGCTCTGTTGCCCAGGCTGGAGTGTAGTTGTGCCATCTGGGCTTACTGCAACCTCCCACTCCCAGGCTCGAATTATCCTCCCATCTCTGGGACTACAGGCACATGCCACCATGCCTGGTTAATTTTTGTATGTTTGGTGGAGATGGTTTTCAGCATATTGCCGAGGCTGCTTTCCAACTCCTGGCTGCAAGTGATCCTCCTGCCTCAGCCTCCCAAAATGCTAGGATTATGGGGGTGAGCCAGGGCACCTGGCCTTAATCTTGCGTTTTTTTTGTTTGTTTGTTTGTTTGTTTTTTTCTGAGACAGAGTCTCACTCTGTTGCCAGCTTGGAGTGTGGTACCACCATCTTGGCTCACTGCAACCTTCGCCTCCTGGATTCAAATGATTCTTGTGCCTCAGCCTCCTGAGTAGCTGGGACCGCAGGCATGCATCACCACACCCAGCTAATTTTTGTATTTTTCGTAGAGACGGGGTTTCACAGTGTTAGCCCAGGATGGTCTCGATCTCCTGATTTCGTGATCCGCCCACCTCAGCCTCCCAAAGTGCTGGGATTACAGAAGTCTTAATATACCTGTATTTTAAAGTGTGTTTAAGTTGTAGGGATTAAGTGCTTGATAAAATAGTTTTAGTTTCTTGGCCAGGCATGGTGTCTCAAGCCTGTAATCCCAGCACTTTGGGAGGCCAGGCCTGGCAAAGATGGTGAAACCCTATCTCTACTTAAAAAAAAAAAAAAGAATTTTAGGTTCTTGAAGTAGACCCTTTACATAGGCTAAATGTTTTAAATATATTTTACTTTAAGACCAGGTTTTCTGTATCTTGGATTTAAGCAGAAATATTTAGATTTTTTTTTTATTAGCAGTTGTGTTTTCCTTGTGTAGTAATGACTCATGAAATTATGGAATGTTTTTGATTAGAATAGTGTTTCTCAAAGTACACTTCATGGAGTCCTGGGCTCTCCCCTGGGGTTCTTTCAAGGAGTCCATAAGGTTGACTGAATGCTCAAGTCTGGAAAATCATAGTTTGCCTATCATTCTTTCAAGTAAAAATTGTATTCTGTGAGAAAAGTGACACGTTCAATTCACAACTCAAGTGCACAGGTGCTTTTCCTTGCGATAACTGTAAATAGGCAGCAGAAATGCTTTATGCGTACTTCTCATTCTGATAAACTGAATGTTAAAAAGATGTGGACTCATTGATATTAAGATATTCTGTAATGAAGTATGTTTACATTTGAAAGATCTGAATTCACTGAATTTGTATTTTCCAAATGTCCAATGGATAATGTTGGGAAACTCCAAAATGCAAGATAAATTAATGGACTTTCACAGTATGAAAAGTTCATAGTTATATGGTTTCATATTCTGCATTGTAGCTATCACTTAAACTAGAAACTGTCACTTAAAAATGCCTTTTCTTTTCCCAACTACTTAACTGTAAGTAGGCCGATTTTCTTTATATACCTCAGCCAAAACAACAAAGTGAAAACAGAGGCTGATATGAGAATCTGGCTATTTTCCTTTAAGTCATTTGTCAATCTCAATTTTATTTACTAAAATATGGCTATTTTCAGAAAAAAAATTATTTATGTTAACATATAATAGATCCATTATTTCTAAACAAATTAGTAAACATTAAAAAAACTTTGTTATAATTTCTATTACTGTAAGTATAGGTAAATGTAATTCACTTATAGAAAAGCTCTTTGAGAATCTCGGTGATTTTTGAAAGCAATAAAGGGTCCTGAGATGAAAGAGTTTAATAACTACTGGTTTAGAAGTTGAATGCTAAGCTCCTTTAACTCTATGTACAAATATGTAATCACAGTTAATAATTGTTAAGGAACATATGTTGTGGTCTCATTTGTCCTTTCAACATAGGTGTGGAGACTGCAACTTGGCAACCAGTTTATTTTATTTTTTACTTTTTAGTAGAGATGGGGTTTCACCATGTTGGCCAATATGGTCTCGATCTCTTGACCTTGTGATTCACCCTCCTCAGCCTCTCGAAATGCTGGGATTACAGGCATGAGCCACCGTGCCCAGCCCAGTTTATTTTAAATAAAGCAAATCTCACCTTGATTGTGGTGATGAGATAGGTCTTGGTGTATTTATTAATAGGTATCTACAGGAGACTTCTCTAGAATTTTCAATAAGAATATTCCTGTGTGAGGTAGGAAAAATATATAGGTGTGAAACAGATGATCAAGTATTTCTTTACTTTGAGAAGAATGTGTAAGAGTTACTAATAGTGAAAGGTAGGTATCTAAAAATACAAGTGTAAGAATGCTAACTCTGAGACATGAATTGGCAGAAGAACGATATAAATTGTTCAAGTGGCATGAAATAACTGAAGGATATGAATAATAAGAAAACAAGCTTATTTTGATTTCTTAGTGTAATGTGGAATGAGTTTTTTGAAATTTATGTTACACTCTTATAATGGTTGTCCTTGTAGTTTGTGACCTTGTATGGAAGATGCAGCATTTTTAGGTGTAGAAAATCAGTTCTAAAGATGTTAAGTAATTTTCTCTAGGTCAAAGTCTGGTGGTCAGTCTAGATTATTATCTACTCTTGGTTTTCACAATGAAAACCTGGAGAATTGATTTTTCTTGCTGTTAACAGTAGAATCAAGACATTCTCTCAAAGAGAATGAGCTATCTTTGAGACCTCCATTTTTATTATATATGACTTTTTTAGTACGTATTTTACAGGTAAATACACTGATTTTTAGTTTAATGGTTTTTTAATGACAAAGGTGACCTATTCAACTTTGAATCCCCAGCCTTTACCACAATTTCTAGCATATGTGGTTGGCATTCAGTATTTGATTGAACTGTTTGATAACAAATATGGCAACTGAATCTTAACTGAACAAAATAGTGTAATATTCTTGTTTTTAAATGGGCCATAATCTTCTATTTGGGTTGTATTGGAGTTAAAAATAAAATGGTTAGACTAAAATGAGTTGTTTTAATTTTAATTTTCTGGACTGAATTTCTTCAGGATCTCATTAGAATTTCTAGAATATGCCCTAGATTTAATAGACAGCCAGCATTGTCCAATAGAACTTTCTGCAGTGATGAAAGTATTCTATAGCTGTGCTCTTCAGTGTGGTATCAACTAGCCACATGTGCTTATTAATAAGCACTCAGAATGTGGTTGGTGGAACTGAGAAACTGAATTTTTTATTAATCTAAACTTAAATCACTGCATATGGCTGCTGGCTGACATTTTGGACTGGTCAGGTTTAGACATTCTTGCTTAGTAAAACAAAATTTAATTTTGTATTTTATGATTTAGAAAGACTGTCATTAGCTCTAGCCCCTCTCCCCACTTTTTGTGGCCGTTTTACAAACTTATCAAGAGCTTGTATAAGGCTTTAAAGGAAGAAGTGGTGAATTAGATTGAGAACAAAGATGAGTGATGAGAATCCATGTAATATGAGAGTTGATGAGGTAATGTAGAAAGGGAGATGATAAAAATATTTCACCCTCATCTTTGAGGTTATCTCTTTAACCACTGTGGGCCTACTTTAATGTGTGAACTACGAGAGGTAGAAAAAACGCCATAAAATACAGCCCTGGTTTTCAGTAAATCTGTATTGGAATGTAAATGTGTTTTGGATTAGTGAGTGACTATGGGTGGGAATGATACTGTAGAAATTCTCAACAATTCTCTAGAATTCAGCCTGATTTCTAGATTATCTAACCTACCTATGTCCAAACATCAAGTACTGTGGGAGATATAAAACATTTCCTCTCTTTTTAATAAAACAAATAAAATGAGAAGAGTTGCCTCAATTGGAAGTATATCTGAAATTCATTTTATCTGCCTCTGGTTCAGATTTCTCGGCATTGACTCTGTTGACATTTTGCACTGATTAATTCTTTGTTGCAGGGACTGTCCTATTGATTGTAGGATGTTAGCAGCATAGCTGGCCTCTGCCCACTAGATGCCAGTAGCTCCCTTCATTTGTAATGAAAGATGTCTCTAGACATTGCCAGATGTTGCTGGGGGGCAGAATCACCTCTGGTTGAGAACTATTCTAAATATATTCTAGTTATGTATATAAAGTACGTGATATACTCTAATCATATGTAAATACTTGGACCATAAGTTGAATAATAATCTATTTCATTTCATTTACTCTTAGGAAAAACTCTGTTTCTCCAGCATTATTTCTTGGGAGCCCAGAAATGTAATATATTTTATCCAGGAGCTAGATGTTTTGTGAAAGTAGAAGAATCCTTCATCCAGGAGCTAGATGTTTTGTGAAAGTAGAAGAATCCTTCAGAATTTGTAGCCCACCATGTTGCCAGGGAGCAGTAGATCTCTTCACATTTTATAAATCAGAAAGTAGACTGGGAATGTGCTTTGACAAGTTCATTTGGCTAATAAGTGTTAGAGACATGAACCTAGCCCTTTTGCCTCCATGTGACATATACGGAACTTAGCAGTAAGAAGGAAGGTAACAGAGATTTGACTAGAGCCTGGGTTGTTGTTGTATGGTACCTGAGTTGGTTTTGAGGGTCAGTGACCTGCTCTGATAGCAGCAATTTAGAGATTAGGAATTTGGA